GCACGCTTCCAGTGTTTTAGACGTACGCACACTCCGAGACCCAAACATCGACTCGGACCACTATCTTGTTGCAGCCAAGATACGCACCCGCCTCTGTGCAGCAAAAAATGTGCGCCCAAATATGCAAGGAAAGCTTAACGTCGAAAAGCTGCAATCACTACAGACAGCCAGCGCTTTCGCTACTCGAATCTCACAACTGCTCTCAGAGAGCACTCTTCAACAAACCGACATATGCGAGCAGGGCAACCACATTTCCCGCTCATCAAGTACCGCCGCCGAAGAAGTAGTCGGATTTCAGCGAGCACAAAAGAACAACTGGTACGATGAGGAGTGTCAGGAAGCTGCAGAGAAAAAAGATGCCGCCTACAGCCCACGCTGCGATCGGGCGTAACGCGCGCTATGTGGGACCGCTATAGGGATCTGAAGAGGGAAGCGAGACGTATTTGCCGCAATAAGAAGAGAGAGACCGAAATATGTGAGTGCGGAGAGCTTGAAATGCTTGCCGACAGGAAGAAAGACCGAAAATTTTACCAGAGAGTAAGGCGAATTACAGAAGGTTTCAAGACCAGGGCGTACTCCTGTAAGAACAAGAATGGCGACCTAGTAGCCCCTGTCCAGAGCGTACTTAATTTATGGAGGGAACATTTTTCCGCCCTACTAAATGGTAGCAGCACGGAAAGTTGTGAAGAAGAACTCGAGCCCGCAGTCGATGATGATGGAGTCGACGTTCCACCGCCTGACTATGACGAGGTACGTATAGCAATAACGCGGCTGAAAAACAACAAAGCTGCTGGAGCTGACAGCCTGCCAGCTGAGCTATTGAAGTACGGCGGTGAGGAGTTGATAAGGTACATGCATCAACTCTTGTGCAGAATATGGTCAGATGAACGCATGCCCGACGCCTCTAATTTAATAGTGCACTGCCCAATCCACATGAAGGGTGATCCCGATATTCGCGCCAGCTCCCGCGGGATTAGCCTTCTAAGCATAGGTTACAAGGTCTTATCGAGCGTATTGTGTGAAAGACTGAAGCCCACCGTCAATGAACTGATTGGTTCTTATCAGTGTGGCTTTAGACCTGGAAAATCCACAATAGACCAGGTATTCACAATACGCCAAATATTGGAAAATACCCGCGAGAAAAGGATCAACACTCACCACCTATTTTTCGACCTTAAAGCCGCTTTTGACAGCAATAAAAGAAGTTGCCTATACGCCGCTATGTCTGAATTTCACATCTCCTCAAAACTGGCTTATGCCGATGACATCGACATCATCGGTAACAAAAACCGCGAAGTCTCTTCTGCCTTTTCCAAGTTGGATAAGGAAGCAAAGCGAATTGGTTTGGTGGTAAGCGAGGACAAGATGAAGTATCTCCTGTCACCAAACAAACAGTCAGCACATTCGCGCCTTGGCACCCACGTCACTGTTGACAGTTACAATTTCGAGAATGTAGAGAATTTCGTTTACTTGGGAACCAGGATTAACACCGATAATAATGTCAGCATTGAAATCCAACGCAGAATGACTCTTGCCAACAAGTGCTACTTTGGACTGAGTAGGCAATTCAGGAGTAAAGTCCTCTCTCGACGTACGAAAACTACGCTCTATAAGTCAGAGTGCTGGTATATGGCGCAGAGGCATGGACAATGACAACATCCGATGAGGCGGCTCTTGGAGTGTTCGAGAGAAAGATTTTGCGGAAGATTTACGGGCCTTTACGCGTTGGCGATGGCGAGTAGACGCAGAGCTTTACAACGACATGGACATAGGGCAGCGAATTAAAATACAGCGGCTCCGCAGGCTTGGCCATGTCGTTCGAATGGACACCGCTGCGCCAGCTCTGAAAGTATTCAACTCGGAATCCGCTGATGGTAGCAGAGGAAGAGGGAGGCCCCCACTGCGATGGCAAGATCAGGTGGAGAAGGACTTGGCTTCACTTGGCGTTTCCAATTGGCCTCAGTTGGTACAGAAGAGAAACGACTGACGTGCTTTGCTGAACTCGGCCAAAATTGCATAGGCGGTTACAGCGCCAAAAAAAAGAAGAATACGCAAAGAATGTTTCTACTTCTGGATATTCCTTTTTGCCATAGAGAAAAGATTTTATTTGTTTTCCAAAGCAATAAGGTTTTTACTTTAATTCGAAGATGCCTTTCGCCAAGGACAGGTTTGCCCAAGAATCCGGATGACTCTCCAAGTGGTGGTGGATATCTGGATCAACTATATTGAAGTTGTTTTGATCACTGAAAATAGCGTTTTTAAATTCTTCCTACAAAAATTGTAATTTTTGTAAAATGCTAAAAAAGCATTTCGTGCCAAAAAGTGGGCTGTGGTTTAGCAATTTATTTCATCACAGTAAGTACCAAAACTGTGTGTATTATTTGTTGTGAACTTTTACTTGTGACAGAGAGATTCAAATACATTTGAGAGTTTATGGTGAATCGTGCTGTTCCTAGTAGCTAACCTTTAGATATGTCATTTTAACTAATTTTCATGCCACAAATATTCATTCCTGTTATACTTCCGGGCTCTTCTGATAGTTCAATGCCACGAGATATTATGGGCCATAATATAACTAGGGAAAATAATAAAACGGCTTTTATTATAAAAAGAGCTTCTATATGCTTAAGGTTTTACCACACAATCATTGGTCTAGATTTCTGTTGAAAATTTTTGACACTGGAGCAGGCGAAACTGAATAGTTCATTTTGCACATATACAGCGTGGCGACGAATAACTGTTACCCAGGTTTTTTGAGAAATAAAAAGGTCCTTTATAGAATTTGCGAAAAAAGTATTTTATTGTTAATTTTCCACAGATTTTACTTTAGTTGTATTAACCCCAGTAGGCTGAACCGCTTCTAGACGGTCGTTAACTAAACACGTATTTAGTTCACCTATTTATAATAATTTTTTTCTATATTCGAAGAGCACGATCTTTAGAAAAAAAGCGTACCTTTACGACGATGTAAATTTTGATGCGTTATATCAATCCGTTTCATTTTAATCGGCAGTTGAATCACAGATTGTGAAAGACTGGGTAAAAATTAATTATTTCTTACTATTAAGTAATTTCGTAATTAAAGAAATTTTTTCTTTTGAAACATTTTTTGATACAAAAAAATTAATTGGGTTTCGTAGTTAAAAGCACAGTATTTTGATATAAGTTTTATAATTATGTCACCATTCGTAATGGAGAAAATTGCTTTCGAACACAGACCGTCTACAGACCGGCTTGCCGACATATAAAAACGCAGTTTGCATTTTTGACCGTCTGCAGACGGGATTGCCGGTTCGTAGGTAACATTGTGTAAGAGAAAGCTGAAAATACGTCAAAGTATATCGGCGAGCCCGTCTCCAGGCGGTCTTGGTTTTTCTCCCCTGTAGGAAAAAGTTACTGTCACAGATCGAAATGGACATCATTTTTGGATTTCTCGTGCTAAAATCACCCATTCCTGAATTTTTCAACTCATACAAAAATTGGCCTACTAGAGGGTTAATTAGTTTTCAAATTTTAATTCTTATTTACATTTGCCAGCAGTGTAAACTTTGAGAGAAAAGTTCATTTGGCACGCAGGTCTTCGTCAGTTAATTTATTCCATATCTTCTGTAACCATAGGCAAATTTTCTCCATTTTGAGTCGCTTATACTCTCCCTTTTATCCAACATAAGACCTCATACTCAAAAATCGAATAGACTCAGAACTCGTGACTAGGACGGCCATTCATTCGACCAACCTTATACAGCTTTTTTCTTTTTTGTATTTTTTTATACAAAGCCTAAGAAAAAATACACCTGAAAAAGACTTGCGTGCCAAATGAACTTTTCCCTGAAAGTTTAAACTGCTGGCAATCGTAAATAGGGATTCAAATTTAATAACTAATTAATACAACTAATGTAAAATCTGTGAAAAATTAACAATAAAATACTTTTTTTCGCAAAATCTATAAAGGACGCTTTTATTTCTCATCTACTTTTTATCAAATCCCTTGGTAATATTGAAAATATATTGTTTTATGAAGTCAACAACAAGCCTGAAAAATATTAGTCTTTTATTTCAATTGTAAGAGCCCGCGCATCGACCGCCAAGTGACTCACAGCATACTAGTCGAATAAGAGCAATTCTTGTTAAAAATTCTGAGCTCAGCAAAAAGGTTTGGTGCATATTATTACATAATGAATCCGTTAACGCAAAAGATAAAGTCAAATATCATTTCTCGCAGCCCTTTAGCTTATCGTTAATCTCAAACTTATCTGTTTTTCAACCAAATTGTAATTGTCTTGTTGATAATTGCACTGGTCTTTAGTCAAAAGATGTAAAGATCAGCATTCATATTTCTGGGGTGCATTTAGGTCGCTGGTTCCAAATATTCTAATCTATTTTTAATATTAGCTATAGTTTGCCAATTTTTGTAAATTTAGTAACGATTTCGGTAGCTCTAATAGAAAAGCCATTATTTTCCATCACCGTGGAAACATTTTTTTTATGGAAATGAATATGGAAACACTGAGCAGGCACAACTTCTAGAAATACTAATTAGTTTATATATGTTTATGCATACAATATGAAAATTGCAAATATAGGAAGTTGACAAAAAGACTAGCAGACCCGGCGAACTTCGTCGCGCCCAAAATTAGATTTTTAATTTAAACATTTTGGTCTAACAGTTTCTCCAACAATCCACATTTACGATTTGTACTGGCACATTCGTCGGCTAAGACTATGG